TATTACATAGAATAACTTATTAGAAATTATAAATGATGGGGTGAATGTGGAGTTCAATCCTTTTTAACCAGGTTAACCATCAAACCATCTTTTTTAAAAAGGATTAGAATAACTTAGTACAACAAAAACTCAAGAAAGAAAATAGCTTAAATTTAAAATAGCTTTTATATTCAAAATCTGAGATATTACCACTTTGAAAGAAAACACACAGTTCCCTCGTCAGGCTTTCATGGAATATAACCATTAATCCTTATCGTTAAATATTTATGATGAAAGGGATATATCCCTCGATAGTTCTATCAAGATATTGTACGTTTTCTTCTTTATTGGCTTCATACACGATCGTTTTTTTAAGTAAAATAATAAAGTAATTCCAGTCATACAGATAGGTTTAACGGCCAACAACCGTTAGGAATTGTGGACGAGGCTCCAAGCACAATACTAAATTTCATATGTAGTTTGACTCCTTCGATGGCAGCTTGACCAGTTATGCTTCGAAGAATGGCGGGCTTGCCTAAGTAACAAAATCAGGCGCTGGTTGAGACAATACGAAAGTTTCTAATTCCTCCCCAAAAGATGGCTCCACTAATACCACTTGTTACGATTTTAAAGTTTACTCAGCTTTACGAGATTAATTGTAAAAAGAGCAGAAATAAAGTGAAATTCTCCATTCTGGAGGGTATCGGCAAAACGGTCGTTTTCTGCGTCCTCGGAAACATTGGTCTGAAGGGTAACGAAAAAGCCGACGAGGGGGGCTAAGACCGGGACTAGACCACCACTAATCCTGTTCTTCGACACTAAAAATTGTTTAAAAGGAAATGACCGGATCGGCAGAGAAGCTTTCACGTTTCAAGAGCTTGGTCGATAGACGTCTCTGGTAAGAGCTCAATCAAAAAAGACTAACAATAAACCATGCGAGGTTGACACTCGGTTACCTCTTGGTGAAAATTTGAAAAGCCTGATTCGGGAGATATATCATGAAAACTTGAAAGGAATTGAAGTAATTAATTAATTAATAATAATTAATTAATTAATAATTAATAATTAAATTAATAATTAATTTGAAGGCCTTACCCTCATTATGAATACAGAAGAAACTGAAGTTATTTTCATTCAATTATTTTTAATATTGCGCCAAACCGATGTACTATATATTGCATGGATTTTAAATACCTGACAATACTTTCACCAATAAGAGGTTATATTTTCTGGTAATCAAATATTTGAAAACATAACAAAAACTTAAGCCACAGTTCGAAGAAGAAAAAAAAATTCTCACTGCCATAAGAGATCATCGAGTTCTTAAGAAGTGCCATTTTCAGGAAGATTCAGAAGATCTCCACCAGAACATGCAGATCTCACGAGAAATGATTTGGAAATTTGGCAAATCTTTGTGTTATTCACAGTGTTCTAGCCAGTTTTGAGGAGTTAAGTGTAACAACACGAACCCATTCACTCCTGTTTCTGGATTGAAATTCTTCCAAATTAGCTACGTGTTATTTTTGGGTTACTTTGATATAATTTTGTTGAATTTATCATCCAGGTAATCGTGGATTAGATGCCTTTCGGTCAAAGCTGGCGAATCTGTCCAGGTTGTAGAGAAAACCTGCTCAATATGTCTCACATAATTGATTGCATTACTTGGTTATTCAGATATCGTGAGATGCGGTCGGGTGTGATGTAGGTTTCAGAAAAACATTTTCTTTATCGAGCCAACGTTTCGATCTTTTATTGAGATCATCTTCAGGGCCTGGGATTTACAAACAATGTTTACATTTAACAAATACATTTAGGATGTGGATAAGTGAATTTATACAATGCAAAATATATTTTATATTCAAACAAAGTATTTCTACTCACTCAAAGTGTTTGTCTTCTGTGTAATTGTGCCATCCTTGTGTGTCGTGTTGAGAGTGCCAGTGAGATTTTGCTGTTTCATGTTTATATATGTTTGGTTTTGAGGAGGTGGGGAAGGAAGTCGGTATATAAAAGACAATTTTGTGCAAGGCGTCGGCTCCTTTGAAGTGAAAAAAGCCGACAAAGGGGAACAATGTGTTGGTAATAGTTCGGCCAGATTATTCTTTCAGGATTATATAGAAAGGGGATAAATAGGAAAAGGAAAGCTAAATTGTTGGAAAATTAGACTATGTAAAAAGTATTTGATGTGTGGAATGTAATGTAATGATGTATGTATGTTATTTGTATTGTATTTGATTAATGATATTGGCGTAGCTGCGACTGAGTTTGCATGTATCTGTTCTGTAATTGATGCTGTGTTTATCTCTGTTGATATAAACCATTTCTAAGAAATTACGTTTATATTTGTTTTGTTCTGTATGTAATATTTTTGGATTTTTGAAGTCAAAATTGTGTTGGTGTTCAAAGTGGTGGGTAGCGAGTGCGGTAGGATTTTGCTTGGGTTTTTTGCAATCATAGATATGTTGCTTTACTCTCTTGTCCAGATATTGGGATGTAAGACCGATGTAAGTTGCCGGACAGTTTGAACAGTTGATCTTGTAGATTACGTCAGATTTATTTATTATTGGAGTGGGATCTTTAACTTTGGAAAAAAGTGTTTGGATTGTTTTATAATTTTTGAAAGCTATTTTGAAATTATCGGACGAGAGAAAAGTGTTTAATTTGTGTGATAGGCCTTGAATAAATGGTATGGAAATGTATGCTGGTTTGTTTGTATTTGATGTACTTAATGTAGTATTATTAGTAATAGTGGAATGTGTTAGTGTTGTGTTGTAATTGTTGATTATTCTGTTAATTATGTGTTTAGGGTAGAGATTGTTATGGATGATTGCATTACTTGGATCCATACAGAGAGCAAGTAGGAATGCTACCAGATAAGAGAATTGTACTTGATCACATCAGCGGGTTTTTGTATCCCTTGTTCCGAGTTTTGTAGGAAACAGGGTTGTTTTATTGAATATAGTTTTTGATGTACAACATGGGTCAAACGGACCACGAAATTAGTGAATTTGATATACATTTTATTTATTGAGAGTGAATGTATTTATTAGTGTAAGTGTAGAGTGAGAGACTCATGGGAGAATATCTAGTACTTCATCACCCTACTTAATTCAATGGTATATATTTAGAAAAAATGTATTTAAAAATAAGGGTGACTAGGTTTATAAGAAACTTGCAACTCAAATGGCCATCTAAAGGGACCAGACGTCCCCTGAAGTTGATGATTGTCACGATTAACTACGAGTCTTAATTTGAATCGATGATATGCTTATGTATGTATGTACTCGTGTCAGTAAAAATAAATAATTTTCCTCTTGAATGGTGAAATTTCCTCCTGTGGTCTGCAGGGTGATGGACCTGAAATTTGGTCGTTACCAATTATTTTGGCTTGCCTAACTTCCTGGGTTGGTTTGTTTTAGTGTTTTACCAGTCGCAGTGCTACTCTGCTCCTAGGGATCATTGGAAAAAGGACAATTGTGTAATATTTTTGAACTTTGTATCACTGACCAGGGTTTCATTGGAGTTTGAATTTTAACTTCGAGAACAAACTGAAAATGGCGAAACACCCGAACGCGTCGGAAAAACCAACCTAGCGAAAATAGGCAGACCAAAATGATGAGTACCCACCAAATTACAAATGATCCTCTTGATAAATTTTATTTGACAGCTATATTTTTAAAACTAAACTCAAAGAATTAGGGATTTCAAGAATATACATTTTGAAAAAAAAAATTATCAACGAATATTACAATATTGCAAAATATAAGATACTCATTAAAAAAAATTGGTTCTGATAGTAATAAAAGCAAATTTTGATGGGATACACAAAACATTTAAAAATTAATAAATCCTTCTTGCATTTATAACAGTGCACCCAGATTGTTGTCTATTTATTAAATTCACTAGTTTTCGTGATCCGCTTGACCATTTAATATCTGTCAATTAATTAAGATTTTTAGTTGAGATAAAAAAGTCACTGTCACGAGCGGGATTCGAACCCGCGCTCTTTGGCTAGATAGGCCGCTGCTCTATCACTTGAGCTGATTGAGACCTCGATCCACTCGGCCACTAACTTCCCATCTCAACCCGACCTTTGAAATCTGTTATCTATTTATTAAAAATATTTTTTTGTATCAGAAATCACTATTAATTATTTTTGGAATAACAAAACTTTACCTTAATATGGAGGATATATCTAATATTAATAATTGTAAAACAATTTTGCCAGATTTGTGGGCCAGTTGGATATTTCCCTCTTTGTTTAAAATATTTATTCGCAGACAGAATCATGATTTTTATTTAGTTTTTACCATGTTTTAAAAGTAGACTCTGTTTTACTTTTGTTGATAAATAAATGTATTTATTATAAGTTTATGTTAATGTCATGAAATAATTGGAAAAAATGATGATTTTGAAAAAAAAACCAATAGTACAACATCGCAAAATACAAGATACTCATTTAAAAAAAATCTACATTGGTTCTTTTGGTAATAAAAGCAAATTTTGATAGGATATACAAAACTGTTAAAAATTAATAATTTATAACAGCGCTCTCTCATTGTTACTTATTTATTAGGAATAATTTTTTATATCAGGAATCTCACTATTTTGATTATTTTTGGAATAACAAAATTTTACTTTAATGTGGAGGATATATCTGTTATTAATAATTGTAAAATTTTTTTGCCAGATTTGGGGGCAAGTAAATTCATAGGGCACAGAGAGATTCATCGTGTCTCATTTTTATTTAATTTTTACCATGTTTTAAAAGTAGACTCTTTTTTATTTTTGTTGATAAATAACTGCGTTTATTATAAGTGTATGTTAATGTCATGAAATAAATGGAGAAAACGGTGATTCAAGCAAAAAAAGGGTTAAAAAATTGTTGTTTGTCTTTTTAAAATAAGATACTAACGTTGAAGATAATAAAATGGCATTTTAACGAGCCAACATTTGTTTGGGTCGTCAAACTTTGTATGCACTTTGTCAATAGCTTAGGGATTAATATTAATAGACAAATGTAATATATAAAATTTTATTTTTCGTTTATAACAAATAATTTCTTGCTATTTACAGACATTTTTCCGTTAAAAGTCGTGTGTAAGAGAAAGTCCTACAAACTCCATGACCTTTGCAGACGTATAATTTAAGTCGGAAGGGATTCGGTGATTTGTGATTAAGTACAATACCGTTATTTACATTTTGTTTTTACCCAAATCTGTTCACATGTAGTAATTTTGAGATGGCGTATCAGTCTGTACTCGCCTGTCGGCAGATTTTGACGTCGTCCATGCGGCCGCGGCAGTCAGGATCCCCGATAAGAGACTGACGAACAGAGTCTTACCCGATATTAGCACAAGACCTAACAAAACGGGAAGGATCAGAGTCTTGAGGCCTAAGAGTCCTATGAGAGTCAGCTTGGCCAGCTTGAGTCCCGAGTTCCTCCTTCCATTTCTACCTCGACCTTAAAAAAAATAACGCTTTAGTTTGTAAATAAATTTATTTAAAATAAAAGCAATCACCTTCAAATTCGCCTTCTCGTGGCAAAATGTACAGCGGTTGGTCAAAAGATTGATATCCCATTAATGATTTAAACATAGGCACCACCTTGTATGTGAAACAGTCGAGACCCACACCGCTCCAAATGCAGCTGAACGCTTCGGAAATGATGGACCATATGTCGTTGCGAGTCCTCTCCCACAGCCTCCCTACCGGATATAGCTTCGTCCTGTTTCTATTAGATTCTTTCGAAAGTTCCGTTGTTGTATCGACGGTTTCCGTTGTCGTGGGAATAAAACTCTCATCGTACTCTTCCTCTTCTTCATCGGGGGTCGGAACAGTCGGCGGTTCTTCCACGGGATGCTCCATTTTCGTCGGGTCGTCTCCGATAAGACGCTCGAATCCTGTCTGGACGGTGCTCGTCGTCAAGTCGTCCTTCGATTTCAACGGGACCGGCTCGTATAGAAACTCATCGGGAGAGTGTATCATGCTTTTCGTTATGATTTTGTACGCTGTAGCGAACCTGAGGATCGCCAGAAGGCAGTAGCACGTCCTCATGACTGAAAAATCACGAAATCCAGCATGGCAATATATACTGATTCCTCTTTTCCTGAACTGATTGCCAATAAGGGACAAACAGTCCGTAATAAAAACAGCTCGAAAGTAAATTCTATTTTCACAGAAGTAGTACAGTGAAAATAAATTAAATCTTCACGCTCTGCAATACCAGGAAGGTCGCGATGTTACCATATCCGTCCAACCGTCGTCAACGGCTAATACACTTCAAAAAATAGGACACAAAAATAACCTAACATTATTACGTGTTATGGTGAGAAATAATAATTTTTTGAAATTTGTAGGAACTATTTTGGCACAGACATTACAGAAACGTGTGCAAAAATGGTGCGATATACATTTTTTAAACTTTTTAATACTATTAAACGTCTTCGTTTTCCCTGAGGAACCAAGGGTTTCGGTGATCGAATGGCCGATCCCTATCGATGATGACGTGCTTGTGGGGCGCTGAATAAGCAGCTGGACCGCCGCCGATACCACCTCCTCCGAAGTTCGAACTGCTGTCGAACGTTCCCCGCCTGTACAACGATAATCCGCTGAGAAGAAATGAAAATTTACTGAAGAGCAACGCTTTCTTCACGAGAATTATGACCATGGCAAAAAGCAGTGGTACTAGGGAGGCTACATTCAACTTAACCCCTAGAAGCACCGGTAGAATGGTTCTTTTCAACAGCAAACCACCTGAAAAATTCACATACAAAGTAATTAGAAACGATACTGCAGTTAGAAAAATACTTGTTATATCTTGAAAATATAGAAATTATTATTCAGAAATCGTGAGATGCGGTCTGGTGTGATGTAGGTTTTAGAAAAACATTTTCTTTATCGTGCCAACGTTTCGATCTTCATTGAGATCATCTTCTTGGGTTGGGCACTCTCAACACGACACGCAAGAATGGCACAATTACACAGAAGACACTTTGAGCCCTGAAGATGATCTCAATAAAGATAGAAACGTTGGCACGATAAAGAAAATGTTTTTCTGAAACCTACATTACACCAGACCGCATCTCACGATTTCTGAATAATTATCGATTAACGGTCACTAATCACCACACATAGAAATTATTGTTTATTAACCAAGAGTTCCCTTAGTCTCATAAGTGATAATTGATAAGAAATACCATTTGATCATTCAAACTGTAAAGACTTTTTGTAAAGCCAACAGTGCCATCTGACAGAGCTAAGTTAACGTTACTCAGATTATACCAAGTCACTCTCGCTCTATCTATTTCTATCTCTCTCTCTCTCTCTCTCTCACTCTCTCTCTCTCTCTCTCTCTCTCTCTATCTATCTCTCTGTCTCTTTCTCCCACACATTTTCTCTTGTTTAACTAGCCAGATTTTTAATATTTATTCACCTTGCTTTAATTCTTTCTTCATTCCAACTATCTCGCTTTCTCACTCTCTCTCTCTCTCTCTCTCTCACTCTCTCTCTCTCTCTCTCTATCTGTCTGTCTGTCTCTTTCTCTCTCTCTCTCTCTCCCCTAAGTGTAAATGATCAATTATTCATTATTATATTTAGTTTATTATTCATTTATCTTATTTCATTATTCCTTATCATTTTTATGTTATTATTCATTTTTATTATTCTCAAATTGTAAATCACGTTTATATTATATACGTTTTGTATTTCGAATTGTGTACATTTTATTTTTATGGATGAATGCTCATGCTATGTAAGAAAGGTCCTTTTGACTTAATTGTGCAAGGTTTTATAAATGAAACGTTCAATATTATTCTTCCTCCCTCTCTCTCATCCTCTCATCCTCTTTCTCGTTCTTTCTATTTCGTTTAAGTCGCTCTGTTTATTAATTTATTTATACACTTGGCTATATCTTTCTCTCCATTCCTTTCTCGCTCCTCTCTCTCCCTCTCCCTCTCTTTTTGTCAAATTATAAATTATTCATTATTATTTCTCTTTTATTATTCATTAATCTTATTTTATTGTTATTCATTATTCAATTCACTAGTTTCTGTGGTCCGCTTGACCAATTAATATCTTTCAATTAATTAAGGTTTTTAGTTGAGATAAAAAAGTCAGTGTCACGAGCGTTGCTCTACCACTTGAGCTATCGGGACCTCGATCCAATCGGACACTAACTTCCCATCTCAACCCCACCTTTTGAATTTTCCCTCCTTTTTGCCATTTTTCAAATGTCGTGTAATCTATTTGATTCTAGATTGAGAATCAAGTCCGAGTGGATCGAGGTCACGATAGCTCAAGTGGGAGAGCAGCAGCGTATCTAGCCGAAGATCGTGGGTTCGAATGCCGCTCGTGACACTGATTTTTTATCTCAACTAAAAACCTTAATTAATTGAAAGATTATTCATTATCATTTATACGTTTTATTCATTTTTATTATTTCCCAATTATAAATTATATTTGTATTATATGGATTTTGTAATTTGAATTACGTAAACTTAATTGTATGTACGAATGCTCGTGAAATGTAAGAAATGTCCATGAGACCTATTTTGCAAGCTTTTATCAATACAATGTACAATTCTTCTCTCTCTCTCTCTCTCTCTCTCTCTCTCTCTCTCTCTCTCTCTCTCTNCTCTCTCTCTCTCTCTCTCTCTCTCTCTCTCTCTCTCTCTCTCTCTCTCTCTCTCTCTCTCTCTTTCTTTCTTTCTTTCTTTCATCCAATATTAACATTACAAGTAAACAGTAGATAAAGGTGTAATCAACGTCCTGAATAAATGATGTTTAATTTTAAATGTTTTGAATATTGACTATGTTTTAGTACTATACAGACCACTAGTATCTCTATTTTGCGAGAAACTACGGAAACTGGATTATGCCACTTTAGGTTATTTTGAATATCAGTGCCTTTAATGAGTAGTGAGAGAGAGTGAGAGAGAGAGAGAGAGAGTGAGAGAGAGAGAGAGAGAGAGAGAGTGACAGAGAGATTTCTAACATCTGATTGATAAGATGACCGATAAATTTTACTCAATTAGTTGTTAATCGTCGTAAAATCATTGTTATAATTCACAGTAAAATTTTCAACCACATTTTATTTTATAACATACATTACTAATTTTTATCATAATATATTATTACATTATATATAAACATGTTATTAATGTATAATTGGGCACATATTTAATGATTTTGATGTCGTTTTTAATTAAAATGATTTGAAATTTTTATGCTGATTTATTTGTAAATGTTTGATTGTTAAATCAGTAAAGTTCGAATTATATTTTATGTTGTCGCACTGGATAAACGCACATATCATTTCAGACGTTCCAATCACCCATTAACCGCATAAGACAAGAAGGCCGTAGCATGCTTTTGGGCAAAGTCATTAGCCCGCATTTGACGCGTATTATCTTAAGTTTGTGGTCACGGTTTGGACTAATTTTGTCCCCACTCTTTTCACGAAATGGAACGTGTGCACGATCCAGAGACTCACGCCCTTTAAGTGACGAGAACCACTCTGAAGAATGTTTATGAAAGAGATAGTTAATGATAATAAACCGAAAAAAATGGGCCTAATTTGCCGGCAATCCTCTATCATCATGCGCTTGCAAATTTGATTAGGAACTTTCTCTCCGGCAGATATCGTTTGCCCCGTTTTACATAGGAAACAAAAGGACTTGGTGAATAGAAAATATGCGCGATCCGTTAGATCGTGATGGCGAGGATAAGGCTCACGTAGACAATTGAATGTTTTATTCCATTAGCCGGTGAGAGGTTAGAGTTGATAGAGCGAAGCTTTTTGAAAAAGAAAAAATTGGGGAAAAATTCAGGTCTTCATAATAGTCATTTCAAGTACTGTTACCAATTAACGCCATTTCCGCTTTGCCTGTGTTGACTTTCTGTTTAATAGCCAATTTATTTTTATGACCGTCAAAATTATATGGAAAGTCCGGTCGGGATGGCCGCTTTCTTTGAATTAATTGAGGTAAAACACATGGAAATGCAGATGAGTCACAATTGGAGTTAAAATATTCATTTTCACTTTCTCCAGTTTCCGTGAGGAAATTTTTCCAAAAGTATCCGCTATGTAATGCCATCTTTAATTCATCGGATCTTAGCCTTAATTAAAAAGATTTTACGTAATGACTACAAGCAACTATCTCTTTTTTTTTTTAACTTTCAATTGCGTTATAGCCATTCAAATGTAACTGCAATCTATATCAATATGTGAGGATTTATTTTACCTTATTGCATATATATATATAATATATTGCATTCCTTTGAAATTAGAACACAAGGTTTGAGACCTAGGTAATCTTTAGTTATCGTAATTTGCAGTCATGGAAAGGTTATTGATTGGATTGGATTGAATTTATATAAGCTTAAATATACGTGCACTTATACACACAAGTGCATGGTTGGGTGTATCACTTCTCGCTGTCCACTGGCAAATTCACCTTTTGTAATTTAAAGTAGATTACCGGCAGGCTTCGAGACCTACCTCGAGATAGGTCATTTCAGTATCCAACTCATGCAGTTCGTATATCCAAAACCATTCACGCTCTCACTCGTTCTTAATACATTATTTCCTTTTTACATACCTTTCACTCAATTAGGGTGATGGAGTGCTTGATATTCCTCCATCATCCTATACACAAATGGAGGGTCGTTGTTGTTCTCAAGGTTGCCATCCCTCACTACATATTCTCGCTAATAAATTCATTCACTTCTAACAAACGCTAAAGACACAAATTATCAGTACCATGTACAAAAAACCAGCCCTGTTTCCTCCAAAAATCGGATTTACTCAAATCTGTTTGTGTTCTGAATCATCAACATAGTTTATCATTATTACTTGCAATTGGCAATTAAAAATTTTTGGCAGATAAAGTGATTGGATAGACTACGTGAAGACAAGCCGCCATTAAAAGGACAAAAAAAAAAGTCATTTCAAATTATGTACCTTCTGTGTATTTAACGTTTCCTCCCTCTTACCGTTTGAACCTAATTATAATTATTCGCCAGTTTGTAATTTAAGTGTTACATTTTCATTTTTTTTTTAAATAAACAGAGTATTTTTGTTACATTACATATATCAAAGGGACGACGTTTGCGTTTCGTATAACCGAAATGTTCAGAGTGTATAAAGAAAGCCTATTGTGTTCTATCTTGATTATAGATCATTATTAACAATTTACTAATTTCGTGGTCCGCTTGACCAATTAATATATTACAATTAATTAAGGTTTTTAATTGAGATGAAAAATTCAATGGCACGAGCGGGATTCGAACCCACGATCTTCGGCTAGATACGCCGCTACTCTACCACTTGAGCTAGCTTGAAAAATCGCAAAAAGGAGGGAAAATTCAAAAGGTGGGGTTGAGTTGGGAAGTTAGTGTCCGAGTGGATCGAGATCACGATAGCTCAAGTGGTAGAGCAGCGGCGTATCTCGCCGAAGATCGTGAGTTCGAATCCCGCTCGTGAGACTGACTTTTTTATCTCAACCAATACCTTTCATAAATATTAATTAATTAAAAATTAATTGGCAATCGGACCACGAACTGCAATGGAGTTGCCATTTTTGTTAATATTTTATCAAAATCTATTTGGTGAATTACAACCAATCTATTTTTCGTTTATTTTTTGTCATATAGTATGAATTCGTAGATAAGGATTTTTAAGGATTTAGGAAGAAATTGAAGTTGTGATTATTTATAACTACACAATCACTAATAAAATTACATTTATAGAAACTATATTTGTCCGCTCTTGTGTTTTCAAATGATTATTTGCATAATATTGCTTAACAAATTAAAAAAGAAGTGAACTGATAGGTGAAAAAGTATAACTTTTTGGGAGATGTGATTTTCTGATCGAGCACGAATTTTTCTTGTTTACGCCCGATCCTTGCCACACAAAAGTAACAAACCAATTCAGGAGGGAGTCAGTAGGCAATTTTGTAGTTGATAAGGTAGTTTATGGCACAGAATGTACATAAAAGACGAAGGACTTAATATACACTAAAGGCGAGTTGCAAATTCAAGACGAAATATATGAGAATAGTTGATTCGCCCCTTTCAAAATGTTTTTTTCAAACCAGTAGTCTTCGTGGTCCGCTTGACCAATTAATATTTTTCAATTAATTAAGGTTTTTAGTTGAGATAAAAACGTCAATGTCATGAGAGAATTCGAACCCACGACCTTCGGCTAGATACGCCGCTGCTCTTCCACCTGAGCTACGACCACGAAAACTAGTGAATTGAACAAGTGAAAATGAAGTATACTTCACTAAATCTCTCCGTGGCCATTTCATTTGTCGCCGAGACTCAGATAGATTACACAATATTTGAAAAATGTTAAAAAGGAGGGCAAAATGCAAAAGGTGGTGTTGAGATGGGAAGTTGGTGTCCAAGTGGATCGAATTCACGATAGCTCAAGTGGTAGAGCAGCGGCGTATCCAGCCGAAGGTCGTGGGCTCGAGTCCCGCTCGTGACATTGACTTTTTTATCTCAACAAAAAACCTTAATTAATTGAAAGTTATTTCAAACACTTCTAATATTCAGAATCTCCTTCAACTAGTTTCTTTCTGTGTACGAAACGTCGTAGTTTAATAAAGAAAATAAATAATTTAAAAATGCTTATTTTGGTTAGAAAATCAGACGCTACCTATAAAACGAGTTCTGATATAGCACAAATGCATCACAAAATATCTCGACTTTTAAAAATTAACATGTTAATTCGGTTTGCTTTATTACGCTAATATTAATAATTTATTCTTCATTATAATTTTATTGAGATTGGTAATTATAATTTTCAGACATTTTAACTATAACGTCAGATTTGAATAGCAATTAAACAAAAGTAATTTTGACGATTGTTTTTGAAATTTTTTTATGTTTATTTTCTTTTTATTCTTACTTTCTTTATCGATGATTAAGATAATTTGCTAGAATTTAAATGTTTTGTTAATAACTAATTAATTGTTTTAAATGAATTAATTAATTTTTACGACAGTAGTTGCAACAGCAATGGTCGTACCGTACCGCGCGAGACTGGTGTTTGAGTAAAAAGTCCATTTGTAAGCATGTTTGGTTTAAATTCAGGACCTCAGATGCTAAAGTCTTCTTTGATAGCGTGGATATCAAAATAATAGATTATTTATTGAAAATTTTAATTAAGTAAAAGCAAAGACTTATTATTAGCATAAAAATATGTATGCTTTAATTACATATCGCACACCCACATGAAAAGGGACACAACTCAGCAAAAGAAGTGGAAGTTTACTTTTTCTGATTTATGTATTAAGTTCATGCCATTACGGTTGTTGGCAATAAAAACTGTCATGATCCATCAATATTTTATTTCGGTTTTCCAAGAGGTAAGCGAAAACACAAAACTAAAAATCCAGCTGTACTACCTTCAAAAAACTACCCCTTTTTGAGTTGAGACACTTTTCTTCCATATATTGGCTTTCGGCAATTTAAGGTAGTTTGTTTGCTCTTACGACAATTTTGATCAATGAATGACTTTAAGAGTATTAATATTTTTGTGATAGTAACAGACAACAACACACCTAACAAACGAGAAAAACATCCATGTAGTAAGTTTTACTAAAATTATTGTTTCCCCAGATGTGCTTTCCTCCTGGAGTCAGGGCTAATTATTTATTTAAAATACAAAATTAATTATCGAAATAAAGGTTATGTTGATTATTAAAAATAATGTAATTTAACATTAAAAAATCGTTGAAACTATAAAATAATGTAAAATTTAAAAGACAACATTGTTAAAAAATTATAAACAAGCAATATTCTAATTAAGAATGTTATTAAAATGAAAGAAATGTACCTAAAATAATTCACGAACACCCTAGATCAATGTATGATCTTGAAGAAAATGCAAATTCAGTTCTTACTGCCATCAGTGATGACTCAGTTTCAACACTCTTCCATTGTGGCCACGACGCTCTTTAATAATTTTATTCTGTATAGAAACACGATATTTTTCCATAGATGATATATCAAAGTTCACTTTAGAATTAAATAAAAAAGTGTGTTTTAAATTTATAATGTTTGTTATTGTTTTTTATCTGAGAGAAATCTGTTATTCCAAAAAACCAAACATCTAAAAAAGACAATTATCGAGGATATTAGTTTTATGTTTAATGTTTGTTGATGTTTTATTGTTTTGCACTTATCAGAAGTCACTAAAATGTGGTGTGTTAAAGAAATTTGAAAAACCAGAACAATTAATGCGTGCGGAAGTAAGTTTCATTTTTTTAAACAATAACCATCTCAAATTGATATTGTCCCAGCTTGCAATTAGACATTTTTTATTAATTTTACCAGTGGAAAGAGCCCGGTCGTCGACGATTCTTCTCTTGTCAAGTAAAAACTGGAGACTCCCCCGTGCTGAAGGGCCCACCCTCATCACAAGGCCTGGGAAAAGCTGGCTCATATCCCATAGCAAATATCTCCGGTCCATGTAAAGCCCAAATGCGTCGAGGAGGGTCCGGGCCTCCCTAGGATCGCCTGAAAAAACATTCGATGGGGTGTAATAAAACATCACTTATTCATAAATTCACTATTTTTCGTGGTCCGCTTGACCAATTAATATAATTCAATTAATTAAGATTTTAAGTTGAGATAAGAACTGGAAAAAATGGCAAAAAGGAGGGAAAATTCAAAAGGAAATAATTTAGGTATTTAATTTTGTAAACAAGCATATGAGTATTTAATATTAATTTACTAAGTTAATAAACTTTATTTAGGCAATTATATTAGCCATTATAGGTAAAGTTAGTTTAATATTGGAGAGAATAAAATAAATTTAAACAACCGAATTAACAACCGAATGAAATATATATATATATATTTTTTTTTTTTTTTTTTTTTAAACCGTTCAAATAATAAATGTAAAGAAGTTTTATGTAAATAACAAAAAAAACCTCATGAATAAATGCAGAAAAATTTAAATTTTGTGTAAATACTAATGTATATGTATTTGTTAAATTTGAACAATGTTTGTAAATCCCAGGCCCTGAAGATGATCTCAATAAAGATCGAAACGTCGGCACGATAAAGAAAATGTTTTTCTGAAACCTACATCACACCAGACCGCATCTCACAATTTCTGAATAATCATCGACTAACGGTCACGAATAAGCACTAATATTAATTTTAATATGTATCACAGATTAAGTGTCTATATAGCAAATGGATTAGTGTAATGTAAAACAATAATATTATTTTTGTAGTTAGATATTGAAAAATAGCAAAAAGGAGGGAAAATTCAAAAGGTGGGGTTGAGATGGGAAGTTGGTGTCCGAGTGGATCGAAGTCCGATAGGTCAAGAGGTAGAGTAGCGGCGTATCGAGCCGAAGGTCGTGGGTTCGAATCCCGCTCGTGACACTGACTTTATCATCTCAACATAAAACCTTACTTAATTGAATGTTATTCATAAAGTTTAAAATTTATAACCAAAATACCACATCTGATAAAAAAAGTTGTAAGTTAAGAAAAAAACTTTTTCTTCTTCTTTTAAAGAGAGAATTGAAAAACTGTGTTCTCAATAGATAAACATCATTGAGCATAATTATGCAATTAAGCCAATGGGCAAACGATCCCACCTAAATACTAATATAACCCGTAAATAATTTTATTTAATATCATTAAAAAGAAAAAAAAATCATCCTAATTATTTTCTAGAATTGTTTTCAAAAATTACCCTAATTTATTGAAATATATTTCTAATGTTTATACCAGTATATTAAAATTATGAACATTGTTAATATGTAAATTTATTTTTAAATTGTGTGATTTCCTCTTGGGGTTATGAACCTGCTCAGTTCTGACCAGTTTTTGTCTGTTTAGAGTCGTTTCGGTTTCTCGCCAGCTTCAGAGATTTGTTTTGCATAGAATGAAAGTGCTGTTTACTAACCCTGATTATATCCTTATACTGAATTTGGCGATAAGTCTGGCTGTCCAAAATGGTCGAAAAGACCACGGGAGACATAACCAAATCGGTTTGTTAAAAGGTAACGAGTGAAATAATTAAACTTAGAAGAGTGTACTAAAATAGTAAAGAGTAAGTATTGTTTCAACTAAAGGGCGACTGTGCCATTTTGCGGGCTGAATGGTATCGCTCTTTTTCTTTAATGTTTTTAATCAAGCAAATGACGTCGAACCACTTAAATTGTTTCCGATTTATCACCTGTTATCGTTTGTGGAATGCTTTCGTCTTCGTAATCATGCATGAGAGTCAGGCCGTCGCCAAGATTGATTTCCGAGACTTCCCTCGTGGCTTCCAGGGTCTTGACGAAGCCCGAGGTCAAGCACGGAATGAGAGGATCGTCCGTCCTCAGGCATGCACCGAATTCGTCGAGTTCGTTGTACTTGTCCTTGGGGAAGGTGACCGCCTCCGAGGTGGCGGTCCAAGCCAGAAGGACCGCCGGCAGAAGCATAACGACTACTGGGCGAATGGCTGGCCAAGAAGAATCTTATATCCTACCATTTAATTTATTCTGCTTTCCTTCTTATCCGCGTGAGATGAAAGTGATTCAGTTTTACGGTTAGCTAGTCCCGGGTATTGTCCGGTCGGACGGTTCCTCCCGTTTCCTCTATTGTCCATTTTTGCCCACGTTTCACCGTGTAGTGATAGCAGATGTGAATCGCTCTTTACGCAACCATTTTGTGAAATTGAATGAAGTACTAATTGATTACTGGAGAAGTCGTTCTTTTTAACCAAAAATAAATATTTATCAAAAAGTACATTATCAAGTCAACACTACATAAATTATACAATAATTGCATAAACAAGTTCTCAATTAGGAAAACAAAGTGAAAATAATTTATACAAAAATTAATATAGAAAATGTTTCACAGGCTTGCTTACTTTACATATTTTTTATTGTTAAAAGCTATAATAAACTTACAAGTAATTATGGTATTTACAGTAATAGCATAATTATGGGAAATTTTAATAAAAAAGTTTACGCTCCACAATCTCCTAATTGGTATTCTATAGGAAATTATAATTATGATAGGTTTATTGAAAATTTTAACTGGGAATTATTGTTATGTAATTGGAATCGATAAATCTTACATATCAAAATGAATACTGGGATTCGTTAAGATGAATTGCTGAACAGAATTCCAGGGTGTTTTACTTACGCCTGAGAGCAATGGTCAATCACCCCGCTGGAAGTAAGACACAGAAAAGCCTGGAATTCTACTTGTGAGCCGACCGATGCGAAGAATTGAACGTCGCTTAATGCTAGTATAGATTGAACCCTGCGGAATGCATCTAGCTAGGTTTAGGTCACGGGGTTGCAGATACCTTGAGGTTACTACTAACTACGCATACTTGCGATACGAAATAATTGGTTCAAACGGTTCTATGAAGTTATCATAAACGTCGGCAACCTTTATGACAAAGACGCCGCATAATTCGAAGCAATAAAATGTAAATATGCCAAGGTTTATAGCTAAGCGGGAGTCAAACAACAGTTTCCAGAAGAACTGCCCTTTGAATAATATAATCAATTATCACAAACGCCATTACACAAAATAATGATCTGATTTCATTACAACTCTTACTTTGTACTTCGGACATAGATTATTGTCTCGTATGATCTTGGATTGTTGTGTTTGGATATTAGCGATATATCGTAAGTACTGTCGTTTGTTAGTCAAAGATAGTTTAGGTCAAGTAGTTTAATCTAGTATGGAAATCTCAGGTCAGCTCCCCCGTCCAGAAATAATCCAAGATATAATATCGAATTCAGAGAGATATGTAGTTAATATGGTGTGTAATTCGTCCAAGTGTAACAGTTAAATATTTTCTTTTGGTTCGTTTATCTTCCAAGGAAGGTGACAAAGTCGGGTATCATAGCGTAGTATTATCAGCGATGGTAGATACCTTACATGTGTTGGAGTAGGGATATGTAGGGATGTCGTGAGTGTAAATGGAGTAGAGGACAGGACCTAGGATTGTTCCTTGGAAGACTACAGCCTTATCTGGGGCAAAAAGTGCATAGCCCTCGCACACCCATGATATCCAAATACTGTTAATTACATGCTGCCAACCCAACTTGGAATTTCAATTAATTAAGGTTTTTAGTTGAGATAAAAAGTCAGTGTCACGAGCGGGATTCGAACCCACGATCTTCGGCTCGATATGCCGCTGCTCTACCACTTGAGGTATCGTGACCTCGATCCACTCGGACACTAACTTCCCATCTCAACCTCACCTTTTGAATTTTCTCTCCTTTTTACCATTTTTCAAATGTCGTGTAATCTATTTGATTCTCGGCGACAAATGAAATGGCGACTGAGAGCTTTAGTGAAAGTATACTTCATTTTTACTTATTAAATTCACTAGTTTTAGTGGTCCGCTTGAGCAATATATTTCAATTAATTAAGGTTTTTAGTTGAGATAAAAAAGTCAGTGTTTCTCTGTGACGAGCGGGATTCGAACCCATGATCTTCGGCTAGATACGCCGCTGCTCTACCACCTTCATCCACTCGGACACTAACTTCCCATCTCAACCCCACCTTTTGAGTTTTCCCTACTTTTTGCCATTTTTGCCATTTGCCAAGTGGTATGGCAACTATGAATTATACAAAAGGTAAGTAGTAATAATACTACAGCAAAAGAAATAGAAGACAATTGCCATAACAGATGAACCAAATATCATTGATTAATTTATTTTTTCCTTGGCCATAAAAGCCCTTGCCTCGTCCAAAATATTGTCCTAAGCATTTCGATCCTCGGCTTTTCACATCCATAGGAACATGCCATGTTCAGAATTCATGTACCCCTAGCCCTTTGCAATCCTCCCTGTAATGGCCTCTCGACTCAAATTTTTTCCGATTTTTCCGACCAGTGTACCTTTTCCGCTACCGGCTCATAAATTTTTTGGCTTAATTTTAGCTCATCTGCCGTTACAAAAACGAAGTCTCTAAACCATAAAACAACACCAGTCTTAGAATAGTTTTGTTTAAGGTTAACTTCGCTTTCCTTGATATGACTTTGTTGCGGAACTTTTTTCAGCCAAGCAAGAAATTTATTTTTACTGTACTCAGTTTCCTTCTTGAGGGTTGTTGGGTTCAAACGCATGCTGTACTGTGAAGTTGACTGAAAACCTTAGCTCGACTTGTGAATCCGTCCTGGATTTCCATGTTTCTCCCACATTTCCAGCTGAAGCAATACATTAATTAGTAGATAGATAGATATAATAATTCAGGGTATGGTATACTGCGCCCTTTAAGAGCTATTGCATTCCCTGTGCTCTGCCTAAAGCACATCGGTGAGTCCTATTTCATCAAGAAACTTGATTAATAGGCCCGGTTTCAGTGGTTGTAGTTCTTCTATGGTCACATTGTACATCCCAAAACACTTCCTCCTGCGGGCTAGTGTAGCTCCGCAGTTTGTTAGTAAGTGTGTTGGTGTCTCTTCTGCTTCTTTGCAGAATCTACATGTGCCATCTTGGATTATTCCAATTTTCTTTAGATGTCCATTTAATCTACAGTGTCCTGTCAGGAATCCTGTTAGGATTCCCAGTCTATTCCTGCTTCCTTTGACACATTCTGTGATTTATTTCTTGCCAAACTTGGTTAGAAGATTCTTGGATTGTCTATGTCCAATAAGTGAATTCCAAAGTTCGCTCATTTTCTTTTTGTCCTTCTGTCTGAGGTATTCGTTAATAGGGTGTATTCCTATTCCACAGAAGGGTTCGGGTCCTATTAGCGGTGTGGCAGCCCCTTTTCTTGCAAGGGTGTCCGCTTTTCAAGACATTAATTAGTATAAAAGAGGTCATTTAATTCTCCCCTAATTCATCGTTTATCACAAACTCAGCGGAGAAAGCGTTTCCAACAGACATCGTTGATCCTTTAAAAGTCCTTCTCACCAGCCCTATTACCTTTGCCGTCTCACCTAGTAACATTAGCCATCTATTGAATCCCGTACGAGGGAATGTATCACTCACCATCTTAAAATCAATCTACATCTGAAAGTAAATCCGTACTCATAATATTTTTTCACCATAACTGTCGTCATACACATGTGGTCAGTCTTTCGGAACCTACCCAGTAATCTTCCAGTTCGTGTTTTGCTACCGTCGAGATTCTTTCTCAGTAAAGTTTTCCCTTTAATTCACACATTTCAAACGTCTGCTTTTAATACGCAAACTTCAAATAATATATAGATTTTCTGTTTGGCTATATTACCTCATATTCATCATTTTCAATAATCATCGACATTTTTCATAGAAGAGCTTTTAGCATCTTCATCGGGAGGGATGTGACTCTCTGACAGAATATGTTTTTGTTAATTTTGTTTTAGACGATAGTGCCTTCAGCCAAATGTACGGTTTTACAGAACCGATGATTTTTCAAAAACCATGTAACAACTATACATAACTAATGTATTTATTATGTTGTCGATTTATTGATAGATGTTGTATTCTGTTAGATTTTAATATTTTACTCTGTATTAAAAGGGGGTTATATAAACTGGAATTCTTTTCATAACAAGGTGTGAAATAGTTAAATAGCCTGGATGCATTATAATTATTGCAAATGGGAGATACATTATGATCAGAGGAGTGAAATAAATTATGCTGCTTATTAATGAATTAACACAATCACAACTCATCAACCAACAATTATAATTAAATTTAAAATGGGAAGCCATAATTTATATGTAAAAACGTACCTTAGTATTAATTAGTATCCCTGTATAAGCAAAAGCTTACTTTTACTTAGCATTAATATGCGACGGTAATTAATAGCCTGTTATTATAACGTTAACTGATAATAAATTACTGTCTTATCTGCCATTTAAAAAAATACTTACAATATTATTAGCTCTTTCACGTTTGTATGCATGATGAGATAGAGATAGATATATAGATAGGTAAATGGACAAATAGACAGACAGATAGTTATATAGATAGATACAGAGAGTGAGAGAGAGAGGGAGAGAAAGGGAGAGAACGAAAGCCGAAGAAAAATAAATAGAAATGTTGACAGAATAATGCTGTAAATAGAGATAAAGAGAGGTAAATAGATATATAGATAGAAAGAAAGAAAGATATATATATATATATATAGAGGGGGAGATAGATAGAGATAGATAGATAGATAGATAGATAGAGAGAGAGAGAGAGAGAGAGAGAGAGAGAGAGAGAGAGAGAGAGAGAGAAAGAGAGAGAGAGAGAGAGAGAGAGAGAGAGAAATAAATCGAAACAAAAATATATGTAAATGAAAAGTGAGGGAGATAAAGTGAGAGCGAGACGGAATGTGTGGGAGATTTACAAAAACAATGTTTGTTACACCGTCTGGTCCAACAACTATTTTTTCTTTTTGGAAATTTACGTTAATTTCGTTACTGGTACATATGTTTATTATATTCTATTTTTATTACTTTTATTTTATATTTATTATTTATAATTTCTGTGTTCACCGTTAATCGTCAGATTTCTCTATGTAATCTGGCCCCTCGATTCACTTTAATTTGATGGCAAACGGCGCAAATGCGTCTGACAAACCAAACCAGCGATAATAGAAAAAACAAAAATGAACAATGACGGCGAAATTATTAAGAATTGCTTGCAACGAAGTGCGGATTCTTATCCAGGATACCAGTGACTGCGTCAATTTTATCACGCACATCTACGGTGATGTATGCTGGTATATAAAAGTTTGTTTTATGGCTATTTCCTTTGCGAGTTGATTGCGATGGGGCTTTCGATTCGACCCGCATATCCACATCGCAAAAACCCACTCCCCGAGTGAAAGTCGAAGACGGGAAATGATTTCTGCCCGAGCGTCCTGTTTCCCAGTTACGATTCAGCACCGCCTGCCTTCAACGAGTGATATGACCGCGATTATTCCACCTGAATCACGCACATACGTCTTCGAACACATATGTTCCACGATTAAACGCAGAAAAACAAATACCCACTCCTATTATTTACACATTGAAAAATATATATACCGAATGGAATAAACTATCTAATTAATGATATTTAATAGTATAAAACGGATTTTCGTGAGGTAAAAATTTTCAAAACTTGCAAAACAAACCTAGAAATGTGAAAAAACGTGCAAAAAAGTGTGATAAAAATAATTTTTTTCCATCTAATAGAGTAAAAATTAATTTACCTAATAAAATTAATTATTAATCGAATATATCCATTTCAAAACCTTATATGTACAATTGTAGAATAAACTTTGTTCGAGAATTGAAAGAGAGTCAAAATAACAATTTCACGTAACTTGAATATGAAGCGAAAAGAGGGAAATTTGAAACAAAGTTTTAGGTTGAGATGATGAGTTGGTGTCTCGGGTGTACCGAAGTCACGATAGCTCAAGTGGTTAGAGCAGCGGCGTATAGAGCCAAAGGTCGTGGGTTCAAGTCCCGCTCGTGACACTAATCTTTTCGTCTCAACCACACTTACATAAAATTATAAATCACTGAATAATCTCTCTAGTTCAGCAATAGGTCCAATTAAAACATAAGATATTAAAATATTTATTGAAAGATTTAAGAATTGCAAGCTGAAAACTTTGATTTGTTTCCTAAATTCTATAAAACTATAAAAATGGTGTGTTTTCACGTTGATTTATGCGTAAAAAATAATAAATATTAAAAAAATGAAAAAATGCAATTTTGTGCAGTAAACCGTAAAAACGTGCAATTTAGTGCAAAATAAGAATAGTGCCAATGATCATTTACACGATTCGAACTTGTGTCTTGATTTTATTACAAGCGGAGTGAGCAATAATACAATGCAATTGTCCGGGAATCCGGTTTTTATTTATAAGTAATATTTGAAAGTTTTAATTGCTTTAATTGTTTATTGACTTATTTCAAGCTTTCATATTCTTATCTTAACTTATTTACCATTCTTCCATTTTAGCAATTTATATATCTATCTACCGTCCTCTTTTTATCTGTGTATGTTAAATCTATTTTTTCCTCTTTGTTTTAGTCGAAATTTCTACTCATCTGTGCACTATTAAATGTATCACGATATGATATATGTATGATGTATATCGTTAATATTATGATTTTGTATACAAATTCAGGGATAAGGCCAATTTGAAAGAAAAGAAAAATACCAAGTTCCTTCGTCAAGCATTCTAGGGAATTATCCTCTTCATTAGGGCTTTGAAACTATTATTAATAATCCATAAGGTTAAAAAATATGAGCATCTACACAGTAATTATCTAAATTATAAATACAAAATTATCTAAATTTTTGAAGTGTATTATTCTAAAATTTATAATCTTATCTTGAGTATCGACACATTTCGCTTATCGAATGTTATTTGATCGAATTTTATTCATGTAAACACTCATCTTCCTCCGCCATCTATTTCAATTTTCATTTGATCCGTTTGTCTTTGTTTGTTTTGTTTTTTTGTCTTTTGTCATGTTTTTCATTTCTTCTTGACCATTACAGCTTGACCATACCATGTACCTATTTTTCTTTTCTAAGTATTTATTTTTTCTCCATAGGTATATGCATTAGAAATTGCTAGTGTTTCCCCTTGTTTTCTCAAAATCTCAAAATCAAACCATTTATGGTTATCAACCCCCCCCAAAAAAAAAAAAAAATCTACGCAGTTTTTGTTTGTTTGTAGAAATGAGTTTTTGAGAAAACCATGGGTGCCAGTTAGTTTACAATCTGTATATTTTAATATATATATATATATATATTTTTTTCATTAATCCATGAAACTTTCTCTCCATCCGACTATCTATTTTCCACAATATTTCACATCTGTTTTCAATCTATCTGTTGGTCTATCCATCTTCTTCATAGGAAATCTACCCGTAAATTAATCTAACTTTCCCTGTATCTATGATTTTTTATTTTATGAATTTATCTCACACCTTTGAGTCAATGAAAACAGAACTTTACAAAAATCAAATATATTTTCTTAAGCTAGTTTAACACAAAAAGTTCCCACAGAGCATAGAGCATAAAACCGTCTGCTGGAGGAAATTAACTGAAAAATATACTAATTATTAAAACAAATTATATAGTTAAATTAGAAACTATGAGATATAGGTATGAACTTAAAGGTAAACTGTTTCATGAGATCTCTGTGGTACTCTACTGCACTTTGTCCTAACAAGAATCTGAATAATGAGGGGAATTAAGTTTTGCAATCAAAGTCGATATCGAAACTCTGGTAGTCCGAAAAAGAGAACCCAAAACTCTAAAAGAAAGGGACACAGCCAGAATTTAAAGAAATCCTTTCTCGCACAATGAGCAACAACGTTGCTAAATGAAGTTTAAAGAAATAGCGTGAATCATTTGGAAACTTTAGATTATGATTCGTTAAGTCGACAAATATTTATGAATGATCGAGTTTCTTGTAGAAAATAAATCTATTAGACAACAAATCGGAAAATCTTTGAAAATGCCTGGAACGTATTACAAATTTGAGAATTTACAGAACCATACTTCATGGTTGTTGAGGGGAAACAAAAAGTCAATATTACAACCAAAAGCTAGTGAATTGAGCGTTTTGAACAAGAAGACAAATTAACATTTATTACTTCAATCTATATTTACCTACTATTTCAAAAAATATCTATAAGTGGTCTTTTATTTACTATCTTGACCCAGAGGAAGAGGTTTATAAAAATGAAAGTAAAATCGTATTATGTTAAAATTTAATCTCTTGAGTTTTTTTTGGCGATACGTATGAAAATATAAGACAATTATAATTGGACGAAAATACTGCTAATAAGCTCTCAAAAGTTTCAGCAGATCGTCGTTTCTGGAAGTCTGCACCGTCTAAAAAAATATGTAGTTACTGTGTTTTAAATCACATTTTATAACATACAAGCATAGAATATACTGTATGTTAAAATAATTGTAGAGACTAAAACTAATGCAAAATACATTAATTTTTTTTATTAATTATGCTTAAAAATGGTGGAATTACTAAGATTCGACACTACTTCATTTTTTTAAGTACGTAAGTAGGATCTGAAAGTAGGAGCATTTGTTTCTTTTGTGAATTTTAGAAATAATACCACTTGTTGTGGACAATAATAGTTTGACAAAAAGATGACCGAAAAAACTACGTACTTTAAAATTACTTGTTATTTTATAAAAAATTATCAAATTATAACAGATGAATATTATAGAACAACTGAGTGACCGTAAATGTGGCGCCTATATTTATTTTTTAGGACAGGAGGGAATCTCATTTAGTATTCAAAAAATCGACACATTCAACCCGTCCTGGATTTGGAGAAAAAGTCGATTCCGGTTTTTCAGTTATCACGGCCCAAATTTCTTTTCAGGTTTTTAAACAATATCCGTTGAATTTCGGCCTCGGACCAGGGATGGAACCGGTTTGGTATCGCACGGTTCGAATTTATAAACCAAGACGTGATTTATTTATGTCAAAATCCATTTTGGGATATCCTTTTCGATAGTATTTTTTTTTGTTGTTAATAATGTTTCACTGGTATTTTTTTATCGGCGTTTCTCAAAGGCGATTTCTTTTTTTTTTATTGTTTAAACATTATATTTTTTATCCACGTAAGGGCTCGATAAGATGGATTTTACGAGGATTTTATTTCATGTGAGCCGCCGTGTTAATAACAAGCGTGGAAGTTGAACTTCTTGAGGAGGGCAAGCGACCTTCACCCAGTAAGATCAGCGGGGACACACTTGTTCCTAACGGTAAGGACCTGTCCACAGGCCCACATATCTCGTCCCAGTGAAAGCGGATCACCAGCTCTATTAATTTAAACTCTTCCCATTCTCTTTCCAGGATTTCTCGGTTGGGGGTTAAAAGGAAACGACCGTTTAAAAAATACTTTTTATTAACATTAAACTATTTACAAAGTCGTCTAGTCAGTCTGTCTGTGTTTTTGTTTAAATTAAATAATAATAAATATAATAAATATTGGACTGATGGACGTGGTATCCCTGAGGTCGAAGTTCGTCTTAATTATTATTCCTGTTTGGGCGCGTAGGCTTTGTAGGCAACATCGGCGCCGAGTGATCTTCCGTAGTGGCCGTGTTCTTCCGTGTAGTGAGGATGGGCGACTACTTCGTAGCTCTGGGTGTGATGTTTGGAAGAGAGGAGTTTCTGCAGACCGATGAGGCCGGAGATGACAAGGGCCAGCTTACCGACGATGAGGGCCTTGAGGGCGAGGAGGGCGAGACCTCCGAGAGCCAAGGGCACGAGGGCTGCGGCCTTCATTTTCAACATGAGAAGCAAAGGAAGGAGCATCTTCAACTTCTTCTTCTTTCCCCTAGCTGTAAAGACACAAAGGTTCCGTTATTGATCGTGATTTATTAGAGTTTCCTTCCGACTTACCTTCGTCGAGAGATTTCCTGACTTCGTTGATGGAAGACTCTGGGACTTTCAACTGGAGCGTGTGGGTCTGGAGAAACCGGGCGACCCTGTCGACGAGCATTGTCTCGACCTGTGCGTCTTTGTCTTCCGCGTTTGCAGGTAAAGTCGCGTCCAACTCGTCTTCGGAAATGGCCCGTCCGTTCGCCTCCCTGGAAGCGGCTTCCGTCCTGACGAGAGAGACCCCGTCGAGGATGTCGATGTCCTCCGGCCTCCTAAGAGCCCTGTCCACATAGGTCAACGCGCGCATCTTCAGACACAACGATAGGTCCTTTTCTCCGCATCCTTGCACCCACTTGTACGCCGTCTCGATTCCTTCTTCGAACGCTCCCGGCTTTTCTTGGGTCGGGTATCCCCGGCACACGGCCAAGACCAGGGCTAGGACTAGGGCACGACGCATTCTAGTTGACTCTCTTTGACTGAATGTGATTGCCTGGCCGAGACCTCCGGTGTCTTATAGGAGGCCGTGACCGTGGTGGAGGGGGCGCTGACCCCATTCCCTCCGGATACACCGCCGCATACGCCCAGCACACGGATCGCCGGCAAAAAGTGAAAACACACACTTTTACGCCTGATAAAAGATCGATTAATACACACGAGACGTAAGACGAATATGTGAATGTCTTCATGTTGCGGTCGACGGCTGAGCAAATAGCAATGCTTGTTTTGTGTGTGTGTATGCATCTTCCCTTCACTGTTGCCATTCACTCCGAGCTGTTTCGTGAATGGGACCACTCACAAGAACAAAAAGTCATTTTAAACAATTCGCCCACTCGAAAAATATAATTATACGTTTTTGTATGCATTTCATTCACAATTTTATTACAGTTCGCAATATATATTTAACGTCAAAAGCCTGTATTGTGTCTTACCACTCAAGGTACCTTTTTAAATAAACAATTTTGTTAAAGTTTGGACATTTATCATTTATTGTTTGATTGAAACTATATAAAAAATTATAACTGTCAAAAGAATTTGGCTTGATACGATCGTAATTTTCAATCAATGATGCTAGTAGACAAAGGAAATCATGACAGGTGCAATTAATTCTTTAAAAACACTCCTACGCACAGTTATTACCGTTCATAATAATATATAATTATTGACAAACAGAAAAGACCACTTTAATAATTCAAAGAAATACAGCACTACTCATTAGAAATAGTTAAGTTGGAGTGGGTTGAAAACGATGTTCCTACTCACAAACTGTTTTTAGCAGTAACCCGGATTTCCAGTCCTCAAATGCTCATACACAGACGACATAAAATCTCCGTTGACTTTGTATAGAACTCCGCAGATTTATTAAATCTGAGGATGGGCATTGGGTGAGTTTTCAACCAATGAATTATAACTAAAAGTCTTTAGTTATAAAACAAACCTAATGCATTTAATCTTTTATCTTTTAAATAAATCCAGTACTTTTTTTTATTAATTATTACAAATAAAGTAGCATATTTATATATTTTGTCCTGTAAAAAAATGAAAAGAACGAGATGGGAAATACTTCGGGCTTTGAAAAGGAATTTGAACAACTGAAAGTTTAAAACGAATAAGTTTCCGATAAGCATGTAGAACTCGGTCTATGTTGTTTTTTGGGGACGAAGCTATTTCTTTTAGTCAACTCGCCATAACTGCCGTTAACATGTCACGACCCTTTTATTTAGGTAAAAAGGATCGATAATATTATATATAACAGGAAGAATAACAGGGTTATGATGATGAAGTAACACCTGTAAATGGATGCGGTTTTGCGGGAAAACTGTCGCCTCACCATTATGGCAATTTTCTTTTTAGTTACTTTCGGTTTCTTCATGGACGTGTCTTTCGTTCTAATCCTTGTAAAGGCGTTATCAACGTTTTCGCCGTTATAATTTCACCGGGCTGAAGACAATTAACTCGGTATGCAAATTGCAATAAAATCGCTTTCGGTCGGATCAGGTCTGACTTGTCGGCAACAAGGAGAAAAGAATCGGTGAAAGACGCCGTTTCAAAAATTCCGACCTGCTCTTACCTATTAAACATGTTCGAACTGAATGTATACTTGTCTGGTTGTCAGCTGGCCGATGAACTGTCGAAAGTCGAACGACTGATCCGTCGTTTCACATTGTTATCAAATGTCTAATCGCCAAACGAAAGAACTAATACACCAAAAATTGACTAAACCAGTCCAAAAGTTCAACACCATAAAAATTATCAAACCTTTTGGTGTTTTAAAGCCATAATATGAACCGTGAATAATGGTATTGTTCAAAACTTACATTCTTATAATAATAATAATTTACGTTTTAGTGGTCAATTGACAAACTTACTTCTTTCAATTAATTATTCTTTATATGAAAGGTTTTGGATAAAAAAGTCATTGCCACGAGAGCGATTCGAACCCAGACCTTCGGCTAAATACGCCGCTACTCTACCACTTGACCTATCGTAACTTCGATCCTCGTGAATAATAACAATTTTTATATAATTATGTTTTAATTTTCCTTCTTCCGTAAATGGGATATATTCTTCAACGTATCCAAGTAAAATCAAAATAATAAGAAGTTTGTCTAAATGAAATTAACTTTGATTTGAGCATCGGTTTTTATCATATAAAGAAAGATTTAAACATGGAGAAACTACCCACTGGTAGCGTTCTATTTTTTTAAGTTTTCACTCACTTTAGCCTGGGAGTATGTTTAATTAAAATATGGTAGGTTTTCAATTATTATATATTCAGTAACAGGAAGATTTTTATGAGATTGACTGTAACGGGAAGTTATTAATTACTGAGACAAAGCGAACTATTTTCCTACGAGGGTCAAAGGTTACGGGGTTCAACTGTGTGAGATGATGATGCAGGTTTTGAAACGAAAAACAGGATCGGTGTTACTCGAACGAACCTGCTGTATTGTTTTGAAAGGTAAAGATTATTATCTAAACAACTCCCTCAATTACACTAGAAACTCTGCTGAAATACTTTTATAGAAATACAATACAATACACAAAACTTTATTAGAATTGATACAAAAAAAAAAAAGNGGCTGTTACAAAGTGGACAAGTTTCATCTTGAGGATCATTCAAAACCCAGGGTTTGAATTTCAAATACAACAATTCTCCTCTTAGTTTGAAAAGCCAACAAGAATCTCTAATATTAAGGTCCTGGGAAAGGCTCGGTTTATATGAGAGTAGGTATTCATTGAAAAGTTCCTTATACAAGTAGAACAACTAGTGCTTTTCGCCTTATTCACAGCTTCTTCTCGATGAACTTCGATTATTTTGTAAGGAAGCACTAAAAGGTCCGAGAGATTCTCCCGAACACCGGAGTTTTGCCAGGCGAGAGAAGCCCATTGATTGTACCAGGAGATATTCTTTCTAGTTATCTGTAGATCGATTATTTCAGGCAGTCGATCATCTGGGAGGCTCAATATCTTTGACATGTATTTTAGGTGTAGAGAAAAGGTATACGAGAATAGAGGAGGCAAACAGGATTATAGCGTTAGCATGTAATTTGGGGAGAAAGATGGTAAGTTGAAAAGTTTTTTAACAAAAAAAGTTGAAATTTTTTCACAACCTCGTAGGACTGGAAACCCCATACTCGACCGCCGTAACATACCACTGTGCGCATGACACTGTTATAAACTTTTACATTTTCATAAGGTACAAGCTTGTTGCGAAGAGATTTACCCAGACACAGTTTAAACCTGCTTTTGCAGCCGAAATTCTTGCTTCAAAATGGTGAGATAGGGAAAGACGCAGAGTAAAAATAACACCGAGGTATTTGTACCTATTCACTACTTGGATTTTGTTTTATAGAAATATAACCACTAGCAGAAACTACAAAAAGCTTATTTAGGCTTCAGAAACAGACTAGTTGGACCCTAGACATTTTAGGTACCAACAATTAATAAAATTAGAATTTTAGAAATGGAGACTGGGCGTTCCCCGAAATACTTTTTACAAGATCGTGTAAAGTCTCAACACACTACGAAGGAGAGGAAAAATCTCGAGAATGTAGGATACGACAATATGGTATACAGGTGACTCTAAAACACGTGTAAGAAAGAACCAGATCAGGCGTTGTTTGAACGAGCCAAAAACATGAGCAATCAAACTTATTAGGGAAGCATACTTCTGTCTTTTATGTTAAAGTACATGCCACCAATATTTATTTCTTGCATAAAAGAAAATTGTAACACAAGCGCAAAACGTCCTCATAAGATCGGATAGCCAAATAGCATTAGCATGTAAAAAAATCACGTCAAAAGTATCAGTGGATGAATCAAATTATCCAAAATCTGTGGAAACACAACCTGACAATTGGGTACCAGGATAGAAAGGAATTTTCGAAAAGAGACACGCCGGCCGGAGGAAGTTTTGCAAGACTCGGGACCTATTCTTGGGTTAACAAAAACGAACACAGAATCTTTCATGGAATGGATCCAAAAACGACGAAAACTTATGCTAAAACAACCCGGACTAGGACTGGCATACTCATTACTGTGATTGGAGAGGGTTAAACTCAGAGGAGTGATACGATTGATTATTCACCGGTCACTGGTATCTGAGGAAAAAAAACATTATCATATTGGCATGATGATCTCTTTTGATTATGCAACTATGTCATCTTCAAATCCGAAGCAACCCACAAAAGAGATTTAACGGGGTTCAAAGAAAACGCATGGAAAGAAATTGTAGCATGACATCAAGACTAGTATTTCTTAAAATAACGATCGAATCCGTAAAATGAAATAAGGAGCTAGAAGAGTAAAATAAGCCAGAAGACTGCAATGCTTGTGAGAAATAAAACCCCACGTTCTACTCACCTATTCATCATCATCATCTTGTGGATAAATGACCTAATGATGCTACTTTCATTGGATCTGGACAGCAAAGTTCTTTGCTGTTAGATTTATTTTTGATTTACGCAATTTTTCTGTACGAAAGATTTTTTTGGAGGGGGGATGATATAAATCAATTTGGTTTGTTATATTTAAAAATGGCATATGTTTGACTTTTTTTAATAGCCAATTAATATCATTTTCAAAAGGTTAAAAAAGTTTGGTCGATCATAAAATAAACAAAAAGGTTTCATTTGTGTAATTAAACACAACTAAATAGACCGTAAAAAAATAACGAGTTTGTTAATTTGGAAATGTATAAATTATAAGAAAACATTTAATTATCTGAACATCTTAGTATTTATAAATTAAATTGAAATTATTATTGATTGCTGAAAAATAAATTTAGCCTATAAAAATAATTGAGTTGACAATAAAACATAATTTATAGATATGACCTACTTAATTGTCTGTACATTAGTTTCAATTTCAATATTTTACGTTAATTTTTATCAATTAATTAATCTGTTTGTATAAGGTATTTGTTGAAATGGAAAAGTCAGTGTCACGAGCGGGATTCGAACCCAGGACCTTCGGCTCAATACGACGTTGCTCTAACCACTTGAACTATCGGGACTTCGATCCATTCGGATCAAGTGGTTAGAGCAGCGGCGTATTGAGCCGAAGACCGTGGGTTCGAATCCCGCTCTTAACACTGACTTTTTCATTTCAACCAATACCTTACATAAAAAGATTAATTAATTGATAGAAGTTATTTGGTCAATCGGACCACGAAATATAATGGAGTTAATTTTTATTGTTAACAAATTTGCAATGTTTAGTTATTTGACCCAGATAACGTAGATATTGATAAGAAAACGAATATTGGTTTAAGAGGAGCTCAGAGAAGCTTGACATATGTAAAGTAATATGCCATAAAGTTCAATGTAAGTACGAATTATAAATAGAATAAAAAACCAGCAAATAAGAAAAGAATGCATAAGTAATAAATAAATAATTTACCATACAGGTTATTACAAATTTGATAATGTAAATATGAGTCATTAGATTTTTCCTTATAGGATATATTTTTCCTTATTTATAGGGGGAAACAACGGATGAGGATGAAAGATTCAAATGAAGATACATTTTTCCTAAACGGCCTACTTGATTAACAACGCGAATGCCCAATAAAATTAAGCACTATTTTACAACACAAAAACAGGTTGAAAAAAAGAAATGGTTTTAATCCCGGCTGTAATTAATTTATAACGGACGTTTCAATTTTTCCACGGCACATTAGCTAACTGGGATGAATTCAAAACGCATCACATTGAAACACATCTGTAAATCGCTGCTGGGTATTACTAAGATGTAAACCACCATAATGAATATTTGGTGGAGCAAGGTCAGGGTCGGAGCCCTGCGGTTGTTTATGTCTCCCCTCGATTTTACCTCCTCAGAGACAATCTCTGCTTTGATTTATACCCGAAATTGTCAATATGTTATGCCTCATTGGTTAAATCATATGATTTATTCATATGATTTCACTTTCAGGCATATTAGATAACTAGGCATGGGTGATTTTTCGCTTTATGGAACTTTTAAAGAGTGTGTGTGGTTTCTAACTCAGACAAACTTAGAACAATTTTGTGTTGAATTAAATAAAAATTCTTGGGCATAAGTTAGGTAGCAACTTGATATATAAATAGATGGTGCAAACATGAATATAAGCATTAAATGTTAGTAATTTGTACGACAACCGGTGTATTCAGCATGGTAATGGTAGCATGGTACAAATGGATTGAAGATTGAACAGGGCATAAGGATACTGTCTTACTACATCCAGCGAAGCCCCTTGGACTAACCCGACGATTTTCCAAGCTCAAGTCTTGCAATTCAACTCTGTTTATAGGAGCTACTAAAGAAACAAATGAAAGGTGCACAGATATACATACCCTCAGACAGGCTACCACGAAGGCTAAATGTGTGTACTGTTAGTACCTCACATCTCTGGGAGTGCCTAAACTGGCTATGGACTTTGTAAAAGCAGAATAATATTACAATGCTTAGAAGAGGGTTGAATGCATAAAAGTAAATGAACAGGAAAGGAAGACAACAAGCGAGCCAAAAAAAAGGGGCAATCCTCTCACTTATGGGACCAGAACCGCAGCTAGGTGCACCGTAGTGTATGCTTAGTGCTTATGTTGGAACTGGAAAAATGGATTGAGAAAGAAAAACTCAAACACAAACGCACTAGGTATAAGGTAAGCTATGAAATTTATGCATGTTTCAAGGAAATCGAAGAAACTTCTCTCTCTCTCTCTCTCTCTCTCTCTCTCTCTCTCTCTCTCTCTCTCTCTCTCTCTCTCTCTCTCTCTCTCTCTCTCTCTCTCCAATAATTTGAGTAAAATTTGAAGCCACTATATCTTGAGATGAGGGGGCTAGGCTGAGACGGAAACATGCGACTCTGCAAGGAGGAATCAGAGGCAACGGCACATACCGTCTGTGAAAGTAAAGCATTAGCTCGGTTATGGTACAGCCACTTCGGTAGGACATATCTCACATCAAAGGATTCCCGCGAAAAGGCAAAGCACTAAAGTTTTAATTATCTGTTTAAAAAAGAAAGAAAGGAAAGTTATTTGCATGGACAAATCACTTAAAACTTTGTTGATCTTTCGTTTGAGGTCATCCGGGCGCGTTTCCTTCATTTTCTACTTATTTTTTTCTAAACTTTAACCGAACGTGGAGTAAGAGAAAACGACACACGACCAACGGCCTAATCTCGTTTTGCCTATCAATCGCCAATAGAACAATTGCCAACTTGGGCCAGGGCCAACAAGGTTACAGTGCCAGATCCGAGGAAACCCATTTCTTCCTTCGAGTTCAATGACGAAAAGGGGTGAAAAAGAAAATGTAAACGCAACAAACCAGGCCTCTAGAAAGTTCATATATGGAGAGTTGATCGTAAAAAGGTATTAGGCTTGTATTAATTATTAAAAATGTGTGGTGATTAGTGACCGTTAATCGATAGTTATTCAGAAACCGTGAGATGCGGTCTGGTGTGATGTAGGTTTCAGAAAAGCATTTTCTTTATCGTGCCAACGTTTCGATCTTTATTGAGATCATCTTCAGGGCCTGGGATTTACAAACATCGTTTACATTTAATAAATATATTTAGGATGTGCACAAGTGAATTTATGCAATGCAAAATATATTTTTTATATTCAATCAAAGTATTTCTACTCACTCAAAGTGTTTGTCTTCTGTGTAATAAATGGCACAATTACACAGAAGACAAACACTTTGAATGAGTAGAAATACTTTGATTGAATATAAATAATATATTTTGCATTGTATAAATTCACTTTTTCCTACATCCTAAATGTATTTGTTAAATGTAAACGATGTTTGTAAATCCCAGGCCCTGAAGATGATCTCAATAAAGATCGAAACGTTGGCACGATAAAGAAAATGCTCTCATCGATTTCGAATTGCATGTACAAACTGAAAGATTACCTTCTATGAATTAAGGTTTTTAGTTGAGATGAAAAAAAGTTAATGGCACGAGAGGGATTCGAACCCACGACCTTCGGCTAGATACGCCGCTGCTCTACCACCTGAGCTATCGTGACCTCGATCCACTCGGACATCAACTCCCCATCTCATAAGGTGGGTTGAGATCCCTCTCGTGCCATTAGCTTTTTTTCAGCTCAACTAAAAACCTTAATTAATTGTCATGTGTTAATTGATCAAGAGGACCATGAAAGTAGTGAAATAAAAAATATATTTTGCATTGTATAAATTCATTTTTTTCCACATCCTACATGTATTTGTTAAATGTAAACAATGTTTGTAAAGAAGATGATCTCAATAAAGATCGAAACGTTGGCACGATAAAGAAAATGTTTTTCTGAAACCTACATCACATCAGACCGCATCTCACGATTTCTGAATAACTACGAGGTTATATGAATTGAAAAAAGCCCCTTTGTAACTATGTCAGGTTTCATTGCAGGGCCGCTGTATTCGAACCCAGGACCTTTAGCTTACAATGATGCGCTGTGTCAACGCCTGAACCGTTGCACCTACAGACGACCCCTAATATTATAAGTTTATATCAAAAATATGGGAAAAAGCCAATATTATACCAAACGGTCAGTGCGTTCGTCGAACTTTCGAGGAATACTTCATCAGGACATTTAAACTAATCTATCTTGTTTGTTTGTCTGTACACCCGATAGAGATTTGATTTAAATGTATATAAGTTCTCCCTAGAAGGCGGACATTTTCAAAAGGAAGGTATCAATCAAGCACCTTTAATATTTTAAGGCCAGACCGTCCGAAGGGGAACATGACAGGGGCTGACCGTAAAGTCGGTCTGACCCTCGGTTGGGACCCTTTCATTGACCTTGCCCTTCATCCGTGACCCCGATAAAAGCCGAGGCCGTCCCTTTGTGGTTCTTCATAGCCTCCCATTTCCGTTTACTTTCTCAAACCGCTTTTTCGACGGGGAGGAGCCCGTTTTTGGGAGGGCCGGTTTTTACTCGGACGATAGTACCACACACAGGTGGAATACGTCGTACTTAATGGGGAGAGAAAACGACGAATTGTGTGGCCGGTCGTGCCTTCGAACGGTTTACGAAATGAGCCTGTAAGAAAACTTCATTACTTTATCCCTCGTTGTCTTGGTTTCTGTAATCTTAAATCACGACTAAAGATATACACTATTATTTATTTTCAAGATAAAAATTTCATTCACATCATGTACTAAAATTTGCCTTTAAAGTCTTTAAAAACCTAATGAAATTCATTTAATGTTTTTTAAAGAATTATTAAGACAAATGGTATTTATGTTTAATCTTGTAGTGGCCATTATTAATAAGATCTCTTCACCTCCTTACCTTAAAAAATCTTGCTAAACTAATTAACCAAAATTGTGCTGTTTTGGAAAACCAAAATTTTATTATCCCTTGCTTTCCGTTCTTTGCTTTTCTAAATATGTTGTTATACATTTATTAAACAGGATGCAACATAAATTCGGATGATGTCGACTTTTGGAAAAAGACAAGAATAATGTTACAAAAGTAAGTATGATGCTAAAATAGTTGCTTTGGAAAATATATTGCATAAATATTTAAGGCCATAATTTAATAATTCAAGAAAAATTTAATTTTTACTTTCGTATAGAACTGGACGAAAAATTCATTACTTTTCAGTATATTTGTTTTCTATTCTTTTTATGTTCTACAATTAATACATGTGTATCCAGTGTTTTATGTTTAATTTTCAATTTCCAATTATGTGTGACAATTTATAACGATCTCCAACGACAGACGGATTTAATTCCTTGTTGAATATACTTTTATAAATATGTTTCATGATGTGCAAAAAATTGTAAAATAAAGTATTTCTACCTATCTTTCTAATCATTCAAGACAAAAATAAATCAGACTTTTTAACTATGTACAATCATGTTAAAAATTAAAACAAAGATAAAAATTAATTGGTAAAATAACGTTTGTGCAACTCCAAGAGTGAGATAATGGATAACATTTAAAAAAAATGTTATTATTGTGTGATTTTTTATGTGTTATTGACACTGAAGGTGGCGAAATGCTGAAAGGATTCTGACAGACCCATCAAAACGGTAAAGACCAAATTTTAAATTTACAATACATAGACACAGAAATTCATATTTAGGAACGAACTGAGGCAATATAAATATATAAACCTAAGCTTTACATTAACCATGAATTTACGACTAACTCTTCTTTTACATAAATAATTTTGACTTTTCGATCAGTCGTTTTCTTTGAAATTTTTGGGAACAACTCTCAATCACACTTCCTTTTATTATTTATGGGAGATCTTAACCCGTTAACCCCTTCCAGTACCTGGAAAAATTAGTGTGAAAATTCTACAAAGAAAAGAATATTTATGCTGCTTAGTTTATAAATTTTCAAAAATGAAAAGGTAGGTGGCTATTTTATTAAATATGTTTTTATTCTAATAATTCAATATTTATATTTAATTTATAGCAAAAAAATAAATTTTAGAAAATAATTATGCAGTTTAATATTTTGTTGACTGTTTCATGCGCTTGAATACTTAAATAAAACGATATGACTCGAATTGTTCCTGAATAATCATAAAAATTCTATGATAAATTTATCTGCCGAAAATTTGCTATTTTATTTCAATTTGAAATTGTAAAAATCAATCATATTTTATCTCTATAAAATTATAATAAATTGCAGAATTTAAGTACCATTACTATGAAACAATAAGGAAATGGCCATTGTTCTTATGGAAATGGAACTACACATGGTGATAAATAAGTTTTATTACAAAAAATTAATAATTGAAAAAGTTAAAATCTTTAAAATTTTTTTTTTAAAGTAAAAAAAGTCAAATTATCTGGCTGAAAGAAATTTTGTACATTCGGACAGTGAAAATCGTTCGTTGTCGATCATTTTGGTCTGCCTGTCGATGAGGGCCGGTCTACCAAACGAGTTTCTACATTTCGTCCTCTGTGTGTGTTAACGTGTTCTTTCTTATCAGTGAAAAATCAGCATCTAGCAGGCAAAATCAGCGAAAAAAGGTTTTCAAAGATTTTAGAAGGAGGTCAAACCACAGGTTCATAGAGCATTTCCTCCCTGAACAATATCTCAAAATTTAATCTATTGTCAATTATTATTTTAAGGAGTAATGATCATAATGTAGTTCAAAATCAGTTGAATTTTTTTTCGATTTCGAACAAGTAATTTTTAGTTGATTCCAGTTGTTCATTATTACACTTTACGTTCAGAAACAAGTACAACTTTGAAAAGTAAAATCAATTAACAAAAATAAAATTACATTAACTAGAGAAACGAAAACTTAAGGGCAAAAGTCAGACGAGGTCAAAAATTAATAAACTTTAATTCGAATTTCTCCCTGCACGCTGATCTTACTTCCAGTTATACCATGGTTTATTTTTTTTTGCAGGTCAGAGATTGAAGATTGAAGAAAAAGTAAAAGCTGGTTGGGACAGGTTTTTTTGCTTTAAAGTACTCATCGTGGTTTTTCAAAACGAAATGCATAACAGATTCACCCGAAAAGATACACCTGGGTGAAAAACTAGACTGACTTTCCAAAGATAACTTCAGGAATTATTTTTCTGTAGTTTAACTTACATATCGAAAAACTTTGTTGCACCTTAAATTTGTGTTTGTTCGTTCAGTCGCTGACCAGCAGCAGAGCTTCCTTTCGGCCATCATCCTCTTCCATTCCTTCGTAGTCGAGACCGTCACCTCCAGAATAATCCATCCAACACGCCCTAGGTCGGCCCCTCTTCCTTTTGCCTTTCACTTTCCATTGCATCAGTTTCTTCTCCAGGGTATCCTGTCTTTCCATTAAACGGCCAAAGTACTTCAGTATTGAGTGATCTTTCCCATTATACACGTTTTTGAAGGGTGTGATCGATCGTACTCCTTGAAAAAATACGTACCTAGCCTCCTATTTGAAAGGGTATTGAATGAAGTAGATTTTTAAATTTGCCAATCTTGAGGAAGTATCGTATTCATCGTAAGTATTCTTGTTTCCAGTGGTTGGGGAGGGGGGGTTGTATTTGATCTGGGACTGGGGCTTAGTGATTTTGGCTTGATTTTGTAGATGCGGCATAAAACCGATGCCAAGTAAGATTATAAAGAAAAATGTCGTTTTTCCAGATAAACATTGAAAAATAATCTTGACGGGGTAAGTAAGAAAACTCTATTTTGTAGCGGTCTACACCATCTTCGTTTTTTTTTTTAATTTCATAGCAAACCACTTTGCGTATTAGCTTAAAATCAAAAAATTTACAAAAAAAATCTTAATATTTAATCCGTTGTAATCATGAATGTTGGGACATTTAGAATAGGTAAATAACCAAGAACAATCACAGAAACTAAATCGTGTAAACTTGATATGTAATATAATTAAAATAACAACATTGACTAGCATATCTGATCACAATAAGAATGAAGCATTGGCAGAAAATACGCCCTGGCAGTCCATCATTAATAGCAATTTAAGTCGCCATGGCATTAAAATATAAAAGCATCGACACCGAAAATCAAACGTGACGTGAGACGATAATGAAAGAGGACAAACTTCACCCAAATTTACCACACTTGATTTTTTAAAATAAGTTAATAAACAATGGATGCACTGTTTTAATTTTATATTGTAGGATAACTTTAGAATTTCAGTAATTTATTGGGGAGAAAACTAAATTAAAGTATAATTTTTGGTACAAACTTTGCCAGTAGATTCTATATTCAAAATAGAACAAAAATGTACTAATTAATTATGATCCGTATCTCAACAGTTTCGAAGTTATTCCCTTTTTCTGATTTTGAAGATTTCTCGACCTTGCTTCATATAATCAATGATAGCTGCAAAACTAAAAGGTTTTCGACAAATCCGTTGATACCATTGAAAACTGTTTTACATTAAGATGTGATCAATATTTAACTTGAAAACGTTGATGAAATAAGCGTTTTTAGTAGCCAGAACTTTGAAAAATAATTTTGTTTTCAAAGTTGAAAAACATACTATGGTAATTCTAAACTACTATTTCCAAACCTACGGACCAGCAAATTTCTATCAACGTACTCCATTTAATATCCTTTTCAGTAGTACAATTGCTTTTTGAAATTTTTTTTTTCAAAGATGAAGAGATTGAAGAAGGGAAGGAAAACCCGTGGTTGACGGATTGGGAAATATTACTAGGTGGAAATATTAATAATAAGAAGAAATTCACTAGTTTTCGTGATCCGCTTGACCGAATAATATCTTTCAATTAATTAAGGTTTTTAGTTGAGAAAAAAAAGTCAGCGTCACGAGCGGGATTCGAACCCACGACCTTCCGCTTGATACGCCGCTGCTCTACCACTTGAGCCATCGTGACTTCAATCCCGCTCAATGCACTGACTTTTTCATCTCAACTAAAAACGTTAATTAATTGAATAATAAGAAAATTAAGGACATTTTTGAATGAATTTATTAAACGTTTTTTAATTTTAACTCGAATTGCTCTCCACCCTCCACAATGTATTTTCGACGCGCTGCCATCGCATTTAACCCGCAAAACCCGTACATAACATGTATATCAGCGGGTTCTTAATTAAAAAAGTAGCAATAGTGTTAACAAGATATCACATAGATAACTAAAAACGTTTTGAATCTTAAAACTCTTTTATTCGGAAGAATAATAATACAATAAACCTTTAATCAAAGTTGCAGTCGTGTTGGTAAATAAATAACAGCACTATTTCGGTTTCGAACCCAAATTAAAAAAAAAAGTTTAATAAATTCATTCAAAATTTCCTTTCGAAATAGAATAATAGAAAGATAGCACTGAAAAAGGTGAGCTGAGTATGTAGATTTACTTTTTATAAATGATGGTTCTACTCCCAGATCATTTTTAATAGAAAGAGTCGTA